GCTGACCCGACGGTCCAGCCGCGGGTGCTGGCGTGTGCCCCGCGTCAGTCGCGTGTGTCGCGCCAGCCGCCGCTGCCACTGGCGCCACTGGTGCCACAGGCGCCACTGGCGCCACATTCGCCGAAGGGTGCTGGGCATCGAGCCCGCCCAGCAGCACGTCCACTCCAGTCGGGGCGGAAGGTCCATCTTCTGCCCGACCCCGCGCTCTTACGCAGAGGCGATAGAGGGTCCTTACTCCTCTCAGTGGCAGGCAGCCATGGACGCAGAGATGGCTTCCTGGAAGTCCACAGGCACCTATGTCGACGAGGTTCCCCCACCTGGGGCGAACATCGTCAGTGGCATGTGGATTTTCAGGGTGAAGCGGCCGCCGGGTTCTCCGCCTGTCTTCAAGGCGCGTTACGTGGCTCGAGGCTTCAGTCAGCGGCAGGGAGTTGACTACTTTCAGACCTTCTCCCGGACCCCAAAGATGACCACTCTTCGGGTTCTGCTGCACGTTGCTGCTCAGCGTGACTACGAGCTTCACTCCCTTGACTTCAGCACTGCTTTCCTACAGGGCAGTCTGCACGAGGAGATCTGGCTGCGCCGCCCACCTGGCTTCACTGGGTCGTTTCCTGCAGGTACCCAGTGGAGCCTCCGGCGGCCAGTCTACGGTCTCCGCCAGGCGCCACGTGAGTGGCACGACACACTGAGGACTACGCTTGCGGCTCTTGGGTTTGCTCCTTCCACTGCTGACCCGTCGCTGTTTCTTCGCACCGACACCTTACTGCCGCCGTTCTGCATCCTCGTGTACGTCGACGACTTGGTGTTTGCTACAGCTGACACTGCTGGACTCGCCCACATGAAGTCCGAGCTGCAGAAGAGACACACGTGCACAGACCTGGGTGAACTGCGCAGCTATCTTGGCTTGCAGATCACCCGGGACAGAGCATGGCGCACCATCACCCTGACTCAGTCACACATGGTGCAGCAGGTCCTTCAGCGCTTCGACTTCACGTACTCCTCGCCTCAGGCCACTCCTCTGTCTACTCGCCACTCGCTCTCAGCTCTGCCTTTGGATGAGTCCGTAGAGCCGAGTGGCCCGTACCCAGAGCTTGTTGGCTGCCTCATGTACCTGATGACCTGCACTTGACCTGACCTAGCATACCCTCTGAGCATTCTGGCACGCTATGTTGCTCCTGGGAGACACCGACCAGAGCACATGGCTGCAGCGAAGAGGGTGTTGCGCTACTTGTGCAGTACTTCGGGCTTGGGGCTAGTGCTTGGAGGGCGGAGTCCAGTGGTCCTCACTGGTCACGCAGACGCGTCTTGGGTGGACGACCTGGCTACGCAGCGATCGTCACAGGGTTACACCTTCAGCCTTGGTTCCGGCTCTGTTTCGTGGCGGTCTACCCGCTCGTCTTCTGTTCTCAGCTCCAGCTGTGAGGCTGAGATCTACGCAGGGGCCATGGCTGCACAGGAGTTACGCTGGCTCACCTACTTGCTGACTGACCTGGGAGAGCCGCCTCGTTCTCCTCCAGTTCTGTACGTAGACAACAAGGCCATGCTGGCCTTGTGTCGGGAGCACAGACTGGAGCACAGAACGAAGCACATTTCTCTTCGCTACTTCCTTGCTCGTGAGCTGCAGCAGCGTGGCCAGCTGCGCCTTGCTTACGTGGCCTCACTTGCTTACCTCTTGACTTTGCTTGTTCTGTGATCTATATATACCTGCACTTGCTTGTTTACCTTTATATATGAACTTGCATGTGAACTGGCCTTGTGGCCTTTGAACCTGTGCTCAGACTGTGTGGTGACGTTGTGATCCACCCTGAGCTTGCTTTGCTTTGCTTTGCTTGACTGGTCTTGTGACCCCTAGTTCTCCCCCACTTTGCCTATGGGGGTGTGTCAGATATATATGCCTTAGCCTATGTAGGCTATAGTGGGGTAGACACTAAGGGGTATAGCTTTCATATTTGTATCTCACACCTTCTTCTCTCATTCATTCCTGTTTCAATCTTCACACTGGTGACGTGGCCCTGTCCAGTCAGCAGCATGCAGTACTCGAACTCCTGCTTTCCGAGTTTCTTGGTCAGGTAATATGCTGCCATCTCGGACGTGGGGCAGTAGGATAGCTCGAGTCTCCCTTTCTCAAACTCGTCCTTCACGAAGAAGTAGCGCAGGGCAATGTGCTTCGTTCGGTTTGCGAACAGGGCTGATTTTATCAGGGTAATTACCCTGATTTCATGGTGATTTCAGGCTTTCCACTTCGTGGAGACTGAAATTTCAGAGTTATTGAATTTCCAGCCCTGATCCAATCAGAGTAATAGTTTAGCTATCCCTGATTTTGAGTACAGAGTAACAGACTAGGCTGTTAGTGGACCCTGACTTAACAGAGTATCGACTGTGTGGACCCTGACTTATCGAGAGGAAGTTTCTCGGAAGTTTCCTTCCGATGACCCCGCCTTGGATTGATCGCAGTGATCCCCCCACATGTGCGTAATCCCCCCCCTTCCCGCTTGATCGAGACGAAGTTTCTTCGAAACTTCGTTCTGATCGAAACTTCGAGACTTTATGGAGAGTGGGGATATTTTCCCCGACTTATCGAAAGAAAGTTTCTCGGAAGTTTCCTTCCGATGACCCCGCCTTGGATTGATCGCAGTGATCCCCCCACATGTGCGTAATCCCCCCCCTTCCCGCTTTATCGAGACGAAGTTTCTTCGAAACTTCGTTCTGATCGAAACTTCGAGACTTTATGGAGAGTGGGGATATTTTCCCCAGTAACAAAGCGCGCGTTACTACTCTGATGTTCAGTTCTCGACCCTGAACAATCAGTGTTAACTACTTTACAACCCTGAGCAATCAGGGTACTGCTTTTCTGGAAAATGTGCACCCATAATAGAGGGGGAAAATTTTCCCCGGAATCAGGGAAGCTTAAAATGAAACGTCAGCCCTGTTTGCGAACCCGCTCTTGTTTGCTATGCGAATTGCAGATTGGTTGTCACAGAAGAGGGAGAAGCTGGGTAACTGGGCCAGCTTTGCTTCTTCCAGTAGTTCGCAAAGATATAGTCCTTCCTTGGTGGCTGAGCAGAGTGCAATGTATTCTGTTTCAGCAGACGAGAGAGCAATTAGTTCTTGCTTGCTCGACTGCCACGAGATAGGACCGACGGGCTCAAGTCGATAGATGTAGTTGGTGCGCGATCGCCTGTTATCATAATCGTCTACGTGGTCAGCATCCACGTAGCCGATTAGTTTTGGAGGTGTGGTTCTGGCCTTGTGGTAGGTTAGGCCGATCGTTGGTGTGCTGACAAGGTAGTGTAGCGCGCGGTCGAGTTCCGCCATGTGTTCTGCTTCGGGCCGTTTGAGATAGGTGGCAAGCTGGCTCGCTGAGTACGACAGGTCCGGTCGGCAGGTAACGACTGCGAAGAGTAAGCATCCAAGTTTCCACTGGTAGTCGCGTAGTCTGGCAGGTCCGAGCGGATTAGACTTTTCTTGGTGATTTCCGGCGATGTAGCGATATGGCGTGGACATGGCGGCTGGCGATAATCCAAAGCGTTTGGCGATTGTGTTGGCGTATTTTGCGGCGCTGAGGTAGATCGCGTTTTCTTCGTCGAGTATGTTGAGTCCCAGGCACTGAGTTACAGTGGAAGAGACTGTGAGTGAGAGATCCTGTTGCAGCTCCACTTCAAACCAGGTGGTGATGTCGTCGGTAGAGCATATCGTCTACGTACACGATCAGCAGGATGTATTCGGCTTCCTTCATACTGTACATGCCCTGGTCGTGTGGTAGTTGCTGAAAGCCAATGCGGATTAATCGGGCGTGTAGGTACTGCTGCCACAGCCGTGGAGCTTGCTTGATGCCGTATAAGGACTTCAGCAGCTAGACATGAGCAAATTCCCTCGACTCGAACCGAACAGGGGTTTTTTTTTGCCGAAAAATGTTCGTGACGAACACCTAGGTGTCAAAACAGTTATATGTTTATATGTTTCTAGGTTGTGTAGGGGTTATTTCTAGAGGGTACAACTAGATTTACTCGACACTCTTGTACCCCCCCTCCTCACCTAATCGACATCACTCTTTCGACACTCATGTCTAGCCACTCAAGCCATGGCTCCTCACCCTAATTTACTCTAGCTTCTTAACATGGTATCAGAGCTGTTACGACCTCTTTGGGCCCACCACCTGCTGCCCTATGCGCCACCCTCGTGTGGCCCTTTTCTCGACATTAGGCTCGTGCCCGTCGCCCCTAGGCCCCGGCCCCGTCGCCCCTAGGCCCGTCGCCCCTCGGCCCCGTCGCCCCTAGGCCCCGGTCCCGGCCCGTCGCCCGTCGCGCGTCGCCCCTAGGCTCCGGCCCCCGGCCCCGTTGGCCCCTCGCCCCGCGCCCGGCCCCGTTCCTAGCCCGCGCCCGGCCCCGTCGGCCCCTCGCCCCGCGCCCGGCCCCGTTCCTAGCTCGCGCCCAGCCCCGTCGGCCCTTAGCCCCGCGTCCGGCCCCGTACCTAGCTCGCGCCCGGCCCGTACCTAGCCCGCGACCGGCCCGTTCCTCGCCCGCGCCCGGCCCTGTACCTAGCCCGCGACCGGCCCGTACCTAGCCCGCGACCGGCCCGTACCCAGCCCGCACCCGGCCCCGTTCCTAGCCCGCGCCCGGCCCCGTCCCTCGCCAGCGCCCGGCCCCGTACCTCGCCCGCGACCGGCCCGTACCTAGCCCGCGATCGGCCCGTACCTAGCCCGCGACCGGCCCGTACCTAGCCCGCGCCCGGCCCCGTACCTAGCCCGCGCCCAGCCCGTACCTAGCCCGCGCCCGGCCCCGTCCTTCGCCCAGCGCCCGGCCCCGTCCCTCGCCCAGCGCCTGGCCCCGAACCAGCCCGCGCCCGGCCCGTACCTAGCCCAGCGCCCGGCCCCGTACCTGCCCAGCGCCCGGCCCCGTCCCTAGCCCAGCGCCCGGCCCCGTACCTAGCCTGCGCCCGGCCCCGTTCCGCGCCCAGCGCCCGGCCCCGTACCTGCCCAGCGCCCGGCCCCGTCCCTAGCCATGGCCCCGTCGCCCCTAACCATGGCCCCTCGCGACCTGCCGCCCCTAACCGCGGCCCCGGTGCCCTGTCGCATCATGGTGGGTAATGGGGTGGCAAGAGGGGGTTCTTCCTGCCCGCTTGCCCTAAAGTCGCACGCGCAGCTCCGCCCCCGCCCCCCTCCCCCCCCCCTCCATGGGGACGGGGGGGAGAGGGTGTGAGGGGGTGGCGGATGTGCCTCAGCAGCAGCAGCTGCCGCCACGCCTCCTCCTCTCTCTCTCCCTGCCGTATTTTGTGTTGGGAGGGGGAAGGGAGTTTGGAGGTTCAGGGGGAGGCAGGAGGGGATCTGCAGCACCAGCCCCCCCCGCCCCCCCTTTCTCCTCCATTTTTGGGGGGTGAAGGATTGTGGAGCAGTAGTGGGGGGGAGGGGATCTGCAGCACCAGCCCCCCCCGCCCCCCCTTCTCCTACCTCCCCCTGCTGCGTGTGCAGCAGTGGGGGGGAGGGGATCTGCAGCACCAGCCCCCCCCCGCCCCCCCTTTCTCCTCCATCCCTGGGGGGTGAAGGATTGTGGAGCAGCAGTGGGGGGGAGGGGATCTGCAGCACCAGCCCCCCCCCCCGCCCCCCCCTTCTCCTACCTCCCCCTGCTGCGGGTGCAGCAGTGGGGGGGAGGGTATCTCCTAATTTACTCTAGCTTCTTAACACTAGGTGTTCGTGTGGGTTCGTGCAAAAAAATGCACGAACACCTAGGTGTACGTCGAAATCCAGCGCGTCAAAAATTGATGCGCTGGTTGGATCTAAAAGGGGAGGTCGACGATTGAGCTCATTCTTGGGCTCAATCGTCGATTTCCACTTAGGATAGCTTTCCGCCCACTACCCATTTAAACTGCACCACTCCCATGGTTTTAAGTCCACATAGCGGCTAGAAACGTGAAGTATAAGGGTAGATTAGGTCAGGAAACGTTTAAAAACAGAAATCAATAGCATTTCGTTTTAGCAAAGAGTTTAGCAAGGCCATTATGGATTCCGAAATGGTTGATGTAGGGTTGGTTAGCAACCAAGACAAGGCCATTCCTGGCCCATCCGCACTACTAGTTACTGCAACTGGGACCGCAAGCCCTCTCGCACCTCTCGAGCTCATAGGGGGGCAATACCTAGGAGTCCCCACGTCACCAAAAAGCTACAGGTTTAGTGGCTGGGGGCTGGCTGCACCCTCACATCGGTATGGGAAGTCTCGTGATGAGATCGAGGAGAATTCAGAGGAGGCCGAGGAGGATGCGGAAGGGGGGGGGGGGGGGGGGGGAAGCCAAAGGGATTGGCTGGAGAGTGGCGGTTGGAAAAGAAGTGCCCACGCATCCAACGTAGTCCATCCGATAGCAATGACAAGGATTATGATCCGAAGAAAGATTGGGATTGCGCGGGGTTGAGGGATGACGAGGAGGAGGAGGAGGAGGAGGAGAAGGGTGAGGAGGAGGAGGAGGAGGAGGAGGAGGAGGAGGAGGAGGAGGAGGAGGAGGAGGAGGAGGAGGAGGAGGAGGAGGAGGAGGAGGAGGAGTTGTCCCAGCCGGGGAAGGCTAAGAGGAAGGCCAAGGGGAAGGCCAAGAGGAAGGCCAAGGGGAAGGCCAAGGGGAATGCCAAGGGGAAGGCCAAAGGCAAGGGGAACGGGAAGAAGATGGGCAAGGGTAAAGGCATACGAGTTCAGGAGGAGGGGGGGGGAGAGGACGGTGTGGCCGCGTCGGTAAATGAGAATGATGGGCCTTTAAAGGCCACGAAAGGGTGTAAGAAGGCCCCGGGTTGGCAGGTCCAGATGTTCGGGCCATTGGGGGCGGATGAGAAGCGCAAGTGTAAGATGTGCGACACCCGTATCTGTTGGTCGACGGGCACTACGACTCCAGGGGTGCGCCACATGGTTGCGAAGCACACGGCGCATCACGACATTTGGCAGTATAGGTCCCTAAGACCACACCTACTGACTAAGGGAGAGACTTTCCCGGAGGGTGGCTACGATGGAGTTCCCGACAAGAAGGTGGTGAATTGGCCACACGTGGCCTCGTGGCCCAATTTGCCTGTGGTGCAGACCCCGAGCGCGAAGGGCGAGGCAGGTGGCATTGAGCGCTTTGTTACAGTGAGGCTGAGTAAGCTGAAGCTTCGTGCGGCGATCACGAAGCTTGTGGTGACCGGCGACTTGCCCTTTCTCATCGTCGAGCTGGATGCGGTGAGAAAGCGTTCAACCCCCCTCCTATTCGTTGTTCTTTGATGGATTGAGATTGCTGGCCGCACGTGCTACTTCATTGCAGTCCAGCCATCATGGCATCAACGCTGAGGATGCAGGAACGCCATCATGATTGCTTATGATATACGGTCACCCATGTTACACATGCCATGCCCCTATTACCGAATTGATGTCCACCTTATTCGCCCCTCCTCGTGCTTGTATATACAACACCAGTTCAAGGAGCTGCTGATCCTGCTGAACGAAAAGTGTGGGGAAAAGGGCGTTATCCCATCACGCTGGACGGTGGCACGCGACACCGTTGTCCTTGCTGACTTGGCGCTCGAGGCAGCGATTGCAGAGCTGGCCTCTACAACCTGTGCCGTGTCGTACAGCACCGACATGTGGACAGGCCCGAACGGCAAGGCCTACATGGTGCTGAGAGGTCACTTCGTGTCGGTGCAGTGGGAGTTGCGCCAGATGATTCTTGCTTTCGTCGAGATGCCTGGTAGGCATGGGGGGAAGGAAATTGCTAAGGCGGTTGAGAAGGTGGTGGTGCAGTGGAAGTTGCAGACGCGTTGCCTCGGTCTCACGACCGACAATGCGTCTGCAAACGTTGTTGGTCTTCGGCACCTGGCGGAGGAGGGTGAATTCTCGGGGTACTTCAGCGAGAAGGCGCACTACAGGTCCGTCTTGTAGCTGGATTCCATCAGCCATCAGCATCGACTAACCCTAAACCTGGTCCCTTTTGCTTCTGTTCGCACCATAACACCCTTGTAACCATGTTCGCCTGTTTGAAACCCTAAACCCCTCCGATCCAACGCAGGTGCCTGTCGCACATTGTGAACCTGGCAATGCAGTCTGAGCTGGGTGTGGAGTCGATGACGGTGCCCCTGAAGAAGGTGTGGGAGATCACTACGTGGGTGGGCATGTCGCCCCAGCGAGGAGCCGCCTTCATCGCGCTGCAGGTTCGGCATGGAGTGCTGCCCAATGGGCCGCACAAGCTCGTTCAGGACAGTCCTACGCGGTGGGGGTCCACACACGAGATGGTTAAGCGCTTCTTGCTGCTGAGGCCCTTCATCGACATGCACTTTGCTCGCGAGCAGGTACGGCTCCATTCGTATCCATTGCAATCTGTGTTGATTGGACGCGTAAGGGCTGTTGCTTTGAAGATTGTCAGAATCCACTATGTTCCAACCGTTCCCCAAGCCTAAGCACATGTACTCAATGTCATCCAACCCAATCTTGCGCCCTCGCCTAATCAACAGGGCACCACGAAGGAAGAGAAGGAGAAGTGGCGAGGTATGTGTGTGACTGATGCCGAGTGGGAGGCCTTGGGGGCTTTGGAGGGGTTTCTCCGTCCCTTTGCCAGAGTCTCCACGGCCGCCGAGGGGTCGACCTACCCCACTGTGTCGATGGTGCTGCCGTACTTCTACGCCCTCATCGATAGCCTGGAGAAGAAGCTGCACACAGGGACGCATGAACTAGTTCGTCCACTCATGTCTGCCGCGCTGGGGCACCTAAAGCAGTACGAGTTTGCCATCGGGGATGAGTACTGGATCGCGACCTTCTTGGATCCGTCCATGAAGGCCGAGTACTTCAAGATGACACACTGGGAGCTGGTGCATCCAGGCATAGTGGCACGTGACGGTGGGCGGCTTAAGCCACGTTTGAGTGCGGACAGGGTGGTGAGCTTGGTGCGCCGCCGAGTGGAGGAGTACTAGGCTCGAGCAGCACGTGAAGCTCCCACCCCACCACCAGCATCAGCAGCAGCAGGGGTGACACCGTTCGAGGAGGATGTCGACGAGTTTGTGTTCTCTAGGGCACAGCTGCAGAAGCGTGGTTCAGCTAATGCAGCGGCGAGAGCGGGGGGGGGGGGGGGGGGGGGGGGGACGTCGGTGGGGGATGAGGTGGATCGGTACTTAGCGGAGCTGCCTGTCTCGGACGTGCCATCACTGCAGTACTGGCAGCGTGCGAGGAACATGGACACGTTGAGGCAGATGGCACGGGATTACCTCGCTCTCCCCGCCACCTCTGCAGCTAGCGAGCGAGCTTTCTCCATGGGGAGGGACCTCATCTCCTTGCACAGGTACAGGCTGAACACTGAGCATGTTAGCGCGAGCATGACTCTCAGGTCATGGTACACGTCACACCCTGGGAAGAGTATTGGTGAGGAACCCGGCCGCAGCGGAGAGCAGGCACCACCAGAGTTGGCGCTGGAGGGAGAGGGGCTAGATGAGGGGGATGAGGAGGAGGCTGTTGCTGTGGGGGGAGGAACCGGAGTTGAGTGAGGGAGTTGCATGGGGACTTGGTGCTGTCTGGCTTTGTTTTGCATGTCCTTGACTTGTCGTTGCCTTGAACTTTGAGCTGTTGACATATTTATCCATATTTCACTAGGCCATGTGTGCGAGACATTGCGGATCTTCACTGCTACCTTTATTTACATTCTGATTTTGCTTGTAGAACACACGCCCTGAGTTTCTTACATGCAGTGAATGTGATTATAATAGAAAGTACACCCCATGGCAAACTGTTCGAGTTCGTGCCAAACACCTTAGTGTTCGGCCATGCCTAAAAAATGTTCGACACTATACTCGAATGGGGAACACTAACATTTACGAAAACTGTTCGTGACAAACGTATTCGGTTCGGTTCGAGTTGACCAAGTGTTCGTCAACTGTTCGAGTCAAATGTGTTCGGTTCGCTCGTTGCTCATGTCTATCAGCAGCTGACAGACTTGATTAGGGTCTGTGTCGGATCCGTGTGGTTGCTCGACGAAGATTTCGGCGTCGACGGGAGTGTAGAGAAACGCGTTAGCTACGTCGATTTGGCGGAGCTTCTTCTGCTTCATGGCGGCTATCGCGAGGAGGATTTGTAAAGAGGTATGTCGGCTGACTGGCGCGAAAGTCTCGGTGAAGTCTCGTCCGTGCTCTTGCTCAAAGCCACGCACGACCCATCGTGCTTTGAATTTGTCAATTGTCCCGTCAGCTTTTGTTGTCACGCGGAAAACCCATTTTTCCGTGAGAATGGTTTTGTTGAGTGCCACTCCGATGGGTACTATCTTCCAAGTGTTTCTGTCTTCCAGCGCTTTTAACTCCCTGTCCATGGCTTCGCGCCATTTTTCCTTGTGCTCCCCCCCCCTAGAGCCTGCTGAGCCGTGGCAGGCTATCGCGGCAGTGGTGCGCCATGGACTGCGGTGATGAGCCCAAGAATCTGCAGCCCACTCTGTGTGTAGCGGGGAAGATTTGGGTCCTCGGGATAAACTGCTTCGTCTCCCGCTTCTGGATCAGGTAAGAAGTTGGGGCCTATGCATTCTGAAACGTTCGTGTTGACTGGCTGGGGTGTAATGTAACCATTGTCGGCGAAGTCGTAGTAGACTTCGGCGTTGATGCTTTCGCGAGGGTTTTCGTCGTCCATCGGAACGGGTACCGAACAGTAGGGAAGAGGTCCAGCTTCTTCCGATGCTCCGTCCACGTTTTGTTCATCCCAGTCCAGATAGCCTCATCTGCTGGCGAGGTGAAGGCTCGGTTGCCACGGAAGCCGCCCATGAGGTCTATTTCTGCTGCCAAGTTGTCCAGGTACGTTTGGAGAGTGAGTCGTTCGTAGAAAATCACGTCACATGCTGTTATTGTTTCCTTCGAGTGGACGTCGAAAATCTTCCACGCGTTGTAATGTTTTTCGATGCCCAGGTGTAATCCCCATTGTGCGCGTTGTGAGAATCGTCCAGCTCGCCAAGTTGTCCAGGTGTTTTCCGCGCGCAAAAGATGAGCCGTCAAGACTCATGGGAGTGACTCTGTTGTTGTTGTCGCTATTGTTTGACTGCGCAGGTGCCGCTTCTTGATGTTGCTCGTAGAACGACATGAAGGAGAAGAATTTCTCCATCATGCTTGGGTCGAGGCCGGTTGCTTGTTTCGCAGAAGTTTCAGTTGACTCAGCAGCTGGTCTTTAAGTTGTGCCTCCTTTTGTCTGCAGTCCAGAGGCTGGCGGTGGAGTAGGAGTAGTACGGGGAGATCCAGTAGACGAGCTTCTTTCCTTCTGTGTTGCCATGTCTTCTGTTGTTGCAGGAAGTTGAACAGAGTTGAGTTTTGTCTTGCAGGCTCTCATACCATGTTGGGCTGAAAAAGCCCTTAGGATGGTTTTCAAGACTAAAGTCTCATAGTAGTGATGTATTTAGCGGAAGCGTAATAGTAAACCAATTGAACCACCTTGCACTAGTATGTGAGAACAAGATGAGTTGATTATAGCAAAGAGATACAAGGTTTTATATGATTACAAAGAATACGAAAGGATTAACTGTAACTGCTGTTGCGGTTTGATACAACGACGACTCGAGTAACTGCTCAATAGCAAGTCAGTTATTTGTCCTTGCTGTCGTGCTGCCTTTGTCGAGTCAAAGGTTGCTGACCTTTGACCTTCGCTTCAACCTCCTGTTGTTGTCGCCTTGTCAACCGCTTTGTTGTATCTTGGTTGACTTGGTGTTGCTTCGCTGTGGATATGCTTCGTTCTTGTTATAGTGTTCGACACATCAAAAGCGTGAGTTAGATGTTTCTAACAGCAATCAGGCCCCCAGATTCACTTTTGGAGGCCCTGATCGATCAGTGTCACATGCAGCCTTGTAAAACCTATGCAATGCGAAGGGTACCATGAGCTCAATAATCATCATCAGAGTCTAATGCATCATCACAGCCAGTAGCCTGTGCTTCTTCCCACTCCTCCATAGCTGTCTCCTTGCCCCTTCCATCCTCTTGCCCCTCTTCTGCTGGTGCTGCTGCAACATTGCCAAAGGGGCGGCGCTTCTTGTAGCTGCGCCAGATCTGCACAACCTCCATGTAGTCTGGCTCGTAGTTGAGGAGGGACATGGTGATGAGGTCTTCAAGCCGGGCGTCCTTGAGACTACCCCGCTGCCAAGACTTGATGTTATTATGGCGGGAAAACCCCCGCTCACACTCCACCATACTCAAAGGCAGCACAACAACTGCCACCCAGAGGCGCACGAGATTGGGGTAACTTGACGTCCAGTCGCCGGTCTTCAGCATTGCTGTTAGCCCGCCATGGAGCTGCGTTCGTTCTTCAGGGCACCTGCAAGGATGGGGCAGAAGGTACGCAGTTCTTTGATCGCCCGACGCTTGTTGATCCCTGCCAGACAAGAGGAAAGGGAAGAGAGAAAGTGATTTGATGGCTTGGCAGAACCCCTGCCAAGATATTAAACACGGCAAACAAGAGTGTCACTGACAACAGAAATGCTTGCAACGCGCATACCTGGTAGAATGCAGTTTGTCGTCTCTGCCCTGAACAGCGAGACGAGTGACATGAGCCACTCGAGACACTGGTCCCTGCGCTCCACCCTCCCAAGCGGCCACTTGTCTGGAAACTACAGTCTCACTCCAGTCAGTGAGTCCAAGTCTTGAAACCTCTTGGTGAGGCTGCGCACGAGCGTGTCGGCGAACGCGGTGCAGAGGTCGACGCAGGCGTCATGACTACCCACGGTTGGGTAGTCCTCACTGGGGTTCTTGTGCAGCACGAACGAGTGTGTGGTGGGCCGACCGTCCGAGTCGACTCCTTGCACCTTCACGCGGGGGCAACCTTTGTCTGGCTCGTGCTTCTTGATGAAGGGGGACAGGCGCGCGCTCATTCTGCCTCCGAAATCGTCACCGCAGTCAACGTAGCGTGTCTCCAGGTAGGATATGGTTCGCCTGATCTGTGCGTGAACGCCTGCAATCTCAAGCTGGGAATGGCAGGGAGAAGGGAAGCAAAGGGAAACGACAGTACTGGGGATGAGTTAGCATACAAAAAGTCGAGCCCAGTAGAAGTCAAGAGACATTGACTTAACATAAACCTCATTAGTTGCAGACACAGATGCATAGATGCCAGAGAAGAAACCACCCCAGCAACCTGTAGCAGGTCGCAAGGTCATAGTAGGTTGCGTCCCACTCGTACAGCATGACAATAAGCGCGGGGAACACCTCGACCAGTCGTAGAACGACATCACCCCTGGAGAGCCAACGGACGTTGTGAATCCCTTGGAGCTCCAGGTTAGTAGCCGTGAATACTTCCTGCAGGGAAAGGAATCGTTGGTGCCAAGGGCCTGATTGCCCCAAATGCTCCGCGACACTACGGATTAAGGAGTCCACCATGTCGAACTCGGGGAGTGCTTCCGCTGCATCCTTTGCTGCGAGCGCCTCCCTGCATTTCAAAAACAAACACGGGCTCGCCAAGATGTGCTGGAGTTGCGTTGTGTGCAACCACGAGGCCATGGACTGCGTCAGTTGCCCAAAGCCATATCTGCGCAACACAATAAACACGATATTGTCACAATACGGAAACTCCAAAAAAGATCAACACTAAACGCTATGCCGCAACGGTAACTCACGTGGTGTAGTACGTGCCATACCCTTTCGCAGGGTAACCCGCAACTTTCTTTGAGGCAAGGTAGCGCACGAGTTGCACCCACAACTCTATGGGTGCATCCTGCTTGGTGACCAAGAGGAGTGAGTCGAGCAACTCGATGACTCGCTCCTTCTCGATGTCGCACGCCAGATTGTCGCCATTGATCCGGGGTTGCCTGCTTGCAGCCGCGAGAAGCTTTTCTAAGCTGTCGATGGCGGCCTTGTGCTTGTTAGTGGCTGCATGCCTCTTGAACGCCTGTGTTTGTATGTCGGTAGCTCCCCTGCCTCCCCTCCTGCATTGGCCCGAGTAGCCAGCGTGCTCCGAGAAGATGCTGCATTTGAAAGCAGGGAGGCCATCATCCGTTTTCAACAATATTAGCTAGGAAAAACGGTCTAACCACTCGGCCTTGTATTTTTCAAGCGCCTCGGCGTAAATCTCGTCGCGTCCAGACTGATTCGAAGGCCCAGGCACCGATGGCGATTGCTGCGTGGCGGCAACCACGGGTGATGATCGTTGGTCGGCTGGTGAAGGGGGTGTAGCACCATCGTCAACGCCCTTGCTGAGCCACGGGAGTGTTGACTGCGTGAATCGGGCGTCCTTCTTAGCCACGGGTACTGGCGCTGCTTTTTCAACAGAAGGCGTGAAGCTATCTTGCTCCATCACTGGCGCATTAGGGGAGGCACAGAACCCCACATCATCGATGGGTTCGAACGGGATATTGTCGGGCGGCGCGGATGCAGGAGCCTTTTCATGGTTGTCGACTTGCGCAAGAGTAGAGAAAAGCAAATCTAAGCCGGTAACAGCATCGGAACAATCAACTGGCGGGCGACGATGCGCATCATCGCCATGTTCGCCGATGTTTTCCATGCCGTCAAGGGGGTCCGCCATAGTTTGCTCCTCTAAACTAGACCATATCACCAAGGTACGAGTGAGAGGGGAGAGGGGAATGCCAGGGCATGACCATCGCTACGGCTGGCTGCCTCTAGGCAGGAAAGGAAGGAAACCCCTTTCGGAGGAAAACCTTGGAGCAGACGGGGACCCTAGATGGCAGAAACGGTGGCTGGGCGGCGTGGATGCATCCCATCATGGGTGCTTGCTAGCTTGACAAGACAAACCGCGCCACAGGTGCAAGCAAAGGTGTAGGTAGGAACCCTCGCAGCCTGCCAGCGCCACTGTGTAGCAACCTTCTCATTGGTCAACCACTAACCTGCAGCAAAACCGGCCAATGAACTAACAAGCCGCGCCAACAAAGCAGCCCTTAAAGTGAATGTGAGGGAGAATTCGTCACGTAGTCCCCGCCACGCGTTGCTGTCACCGCGGGAATCACAGATTCTCTGTAATTCCGGCTAAATCCACGCTAAACTAGTAAGAATCGCATTCAGTGTTACTTTCGTTACAACGCTGTGGAATCAGGGTGCATTCCTGTGGGGACACTTGTGTCTCAATCACTTTGTGACACCCAAAAACAACATAAACTGTGTTGTGTCCCAAATACGAATCGGCTTTCGGCGACTTGTACTGTATTTATTATTGGTCAGCGTGAAACGCGCTGACATCGCTGTCGAATTGTGAAACGACCCGTCATTGTTAAAGAATCGCACGCGACTCGAAATGCCCGACACGACCACATGCACCTGGACATCCGAAAATGCCAATTTTGCGAGGGAAAAGATCCCGCGCATCGAAACCACGCCCCTGCTCGGAGGTTGAAAATACGGGTGTACTGTCACCCAGTCAAATGCACACACCTGTACATCTCTTTTTGATCCCCGCCAGTGAAACGTGTCCAACTGAACCTGCCAATATGTCGCCCTACATCGCGGTACATTCGATGTTTGTGACACAACATTGGGAAAATTAACAGGCGCGACTCGGGAAAACGGGGATTGAGAAACATGTCCCCACAGGAATGTACCCTCAGTGTACCTAGAAAAAAAAAAAAGCCTGAAAAATCAGTGTTAACTATGAAATTGAGGCTGAAATATCAGTGTCACTAAAATCAAAACTCTGAAAAATCAGTGTAGGTACACAAAAGTAGGCTGATAATAAGGAATTTCAGGGAAAAAACCCTGATATCATAGGGGCTGATTGCAATGCTAGTAAAATTAGCTGAGGACTGCTGTTGCTTAGACTACCCCACTTGTTGAAGTCTTGGCATTTGCAGTAAATCTATCAGATATACTGGCTGCTTCTTGAAAGAGATCGTACATTTGGATGACAAAGTACCAAAGACACACAGCACATCATTAGGCACAGTTACAAGACCATACCGTAACAAGGACATAAAAGGCAAAACACTCTTGAGACGGCTCAACAGCAGTCCACCCCACTATGGGCCATGGCTTGCTGTTGAAACACCTCAACAGATACACTCAGTGATACACTCACAGAAAGAATTCAGTTCACGCCACATTCCTTGGAATGAGTCGTGATGAGGTGAGGCAGGTCAAGGGAAGGGCAAAATAGAAAGAAGGGACGACTAAATTGTCTGCGGTGAGGTGGGCCGTTGTCAGCATTGAATTGCTTGGAAAATACTGGTGGTGGTGGTGGTGCTGCTGCTGCTGCTATTGCTGCTGCAGCTGCCTCTTCTATCGAACGAGCATTGACCCGCCTCACACAATGCTGCTGCTGGTGATGTTGCTGCTGTGAAAGGCAGACCTGAATCGAGTGTACGACCGCGACCCTGCTGGTGCTCCTGCTGTGTTGTAGGCAAGTGGGGGAAGGCTGGGAGCATTCCCGACTGCACCCATGCCAACAATAGCAGCAGCAGCAGAACCCAACCCTCCTTCCACCCCCCCTGGTTGGTACGACACAGGTATGGCCGCATTACTGCTACCGTTCCCTCCTCCCACCCCCCCACTCCCAGTCCCGCTGCTGCTCCCCTCCCCAGCACTCATCACCCCCCCACTCCCCCCCAACCCACTGCTGCTGCTCCCCTCCCCGCTGCTTGCAAACGTGATATTCGAGTGGCCCAACCCGGGCGGCGGGTGGCCGGCCGCTGCCTCGAGCTGGATGGCGTGGTTTAACTCGAAGCAGACGTCCGAAATGCTCGGGCGGTTGAAGCTTTTCGGTTCAACGCACACCACGCCCACCTCGGCCACGCGCCACATGACCTCGATGTCGAATTCCGATGGGGAGAGAGTCGGGTCTATTATAGCCTCTATCTGCCCTTGCTGCAGCCGCGAGCGCACCTGCATGGGTTTTGGGTGTGGGGGAAGGAGGAGGGAGAGAAGGAGAGGGCGAGGGGGAAGGAGGGGGCCAAGGAGGAGAGAAGGGGAAGAGAGTGGGGTTGAGAGGGTCAGTCAGTGCTAGCAGTGCACACCACGCCCACCTCGGCCACGCGCCACATGACCTCGATGTCGAATTCCGATGGGGAGAGAGTCGGGTCTATTATAGCCTCTATCTGCCCTTGCTGCAGCCGCGAGCGCACCTGCATGGGTTTTGGGTGTGGGGGAAGGAGGAGGGAGAGAAGGAGAGGGCGAGGGGGAAGGAGGGGGCCAAGGAGGAGAGAAGGGGAAGAGAGTGGGGTTGAGAGGGTCAGTCAGTGCTAGCAGTGCACACCACGCCCACCTCGGCCACGCGCCACATGACCTCGATGTCGAATTCCGATGGGGAGAGAGTCGGGTCTATTATAGCCTCTATCTGCCCTTGCTGCAGCCGCGAGCGCACCTGCATGGGTTTTGGGTGTGGGGGAAGGAGGAGGGAGAGAAGGAGAGGGCGAGGGGGAAGGAGGGGGCCAAGGAGGAGAGAAGGGGAAGAGAGTGGGGTTGAGAGGGTCAGTCAGTGCTAGCAGTGCACACCACGCCCACCTCGGCCACGCGCCACATGACCTCGATGTCGAATTCCGATGGGGAGAGAGTCGGGTCTATGATTGCCTCTATCTGCCCTTGCTGCAGCCGGGAGCGTACCTGCAGAGAGTTTAGTGAAAAAAGGGGAGGGGGAGGGAAGGGCGCAGAGGGGAAAGAGCAGGGATGAGGGGGTTAGTGATAGTGCACACCACGCCCACCTCTGCCACGTGCCACATGACCTCAATGTCCAACTCAGAGGGGAAGAGGGTCGGGTCTATGATCGCTTCTATCTGCCCTTGCTGCAGCCTCGACCGCACCTGCATGGGTTTGGGGCGTGGGGGGAGGAGGAGGGAGAGAGGGAAAAGGGGGGGTTCAGGTCGATCGGTTGCTGCCCGGAAATCAGCTCCAGCAGCACCCAGTCAATCCATTCAACCCTAGTCAACCCTGGTCAACCCTGGTCAACCCTGGTCAACCCTGGTCAACCTTAATCAACCCTGCTCAACTGCAGTCAACCGTCACTCACCCAATCAATGATGCTCCAATCGTCTCTTGGACGGTTCAGATCGATTGGCTGCCGCCCAGAAATCAGCTCCAGCAGCACGACTCCAAAGCTGAACACGTCACTGCGGTCGGTTAATTGCTGCACCGTGTAGTACCTGAAGGGGTGGAGAAGGCGGGAGGAGAGGGGAGCGACGGGAGTGTAGATGGGGTATGTGGTGTGTGTGTTGCTGCTCTCTCCCATTCTCCAATCAGTTCCAGCAGCACCACTCCGAAACTAAACACGTCACTGCGATCGGTTAAGTGCTGCACCGTGTGCTCTCAGGTACAGGGAGCATCGGGGATTTGCAGGTTGTTGCAATCTAGCCGGGGGGCATGGGCATGTGAGCACTTACTCAGGGTCAAGGTAGCCTGCTGTCCCCTTGACGTTAGTTGACACATGGGTGCGGCTGACAGAGCCCTCTCTGGACAGCCCAAAGAGACTCAGCTACCAGCCAAGGGAGGGGATTTTATACCTGGGAGGAGAAAGGACTTACTCAGGGTCGAGGTATCCAGCCGTGCCCTTGACGTTAGTTGACACGTGGGTGCGGCTGACAGAGCCCTCTCTGGACAGCCCAAAGTCAGCCACGTGCACTCACTCAGGGCCAGGGCAACCAGCAGCGCACTCTCATACTCAGACTCACTCGGGATTGAGGTATCCAGCTGTGCCCTTGACGTTGGTGGACACGTGGCTGCAGCTGACAGAGCCCTCTCTGGACAGCCCAAAGTCGGCCACGTGGGCTCTCAGGTTGGCCTCAGTGCATGGGGGCATGCACGCATTCTAGCATGGGGAAGATAGGAACATGTGAGCACTTACTCAGGGTCGAGGTATCCAGCAGTCCCCTTGACATTGGTGGACACGTGAGTGCGGCTCACAGAGCCCTCCCTGGACAGCCCAAAGTCGGCCACGTGTGCTCTCAGGTTGGCGTCTAGGAGAATGTTGCTGGTCTTGATGTCCCGGTGGATGATAGGGGGGGTCATGCCCGTGTGCAGATACTCGATTCCTGCATGTATGGATGGGAGATGGGGAGGTGGGAGATGGGGGGGTGGGAGATGGGGGGGTGGGAGATGGGGAGGTGGGAGATGGGGGGGTGGGAGATGGGGAGGTGGGAGATGGGGGGGTGGGAGATGGGGAGGTGGGAGATGACAAATGGGAGGGGGCATGAACTCATACACCAACACCTGCTGCACAGTGAATGATGGGGGGGCGTCATGCCCGTGTGCAGGTACTCTATGCCTGCATGTATGGATGGGAGATGGGGAGGTGGGAGATGGGGAGGTGGGAGATGACAAATGGGAGGGTTGAGTGGACTTGCAGATTGGAAAGGAGTCTTTTGAGGCGCCTCGAAAGGAGTCATACAGACATTACTGCACAGTCCCATGCGGCATGCACTCATACACCAACACCTGCTGCTGCTGTGCCTAGCCTAGCGGGATTGGGATTCTCTCTCTCTCACACACAAGGCAAGGAATTTCACACACCTCTAGCGGCGTTGAGGGCGATATGCAGGCGCTGCAGCCAGCGCAGGTGCCCCAACGGATTCCCAATGGAGTCATACAGATGATCCCGCACGGTCCCATGCGGCATGAACTCATAAACCAACACCTGCTGCCCGCTCTCCCGGCAGAATCCAATCAAATCCACGAGATTCGGGTGGCGCGCGCGCGACAGCAGGTCGACCTCGTTATAAAACTCCTTCTCGCCTTGTAATGAGTCCTCATCTCTCTTTTTCACCGCCACCATTCGGCCATCAGGGAGGATTCCTTTAAACACCGGCCCAAACCCGCCAGATCCGATGATGTGGGAGGGGTGAAAGTTGGCAGTGGCTGCTGCGAGGTCTGCGAGAGAGAAGCGCCGCACGTGAGAGCCTGGAGAGACAAAGAGAATCATCGAGTCGACAGCTGCTGCTGCTGGTGCTGCCGGTGGTTCTGCTGCTGCTGCACCTGCTACTGGCACTGCTGCAGAGAAAGACTGATCCTGGGCCTTGGAGGAATCACCAAAGATGCTGTTCCGGGTCACACTGCTGCCACCCAAACCTGCTGCTGCTGCACCTGCAATAGCTGCTGCCCCAGCTGCTGCTGCTACACCAGCACCATTAACAGCAGCACCAACACCAGAAACACCAACGGCACTAGCAGCAGCAGGGCCAGATGTGGTTGCAGCCGTGTCGGTTGTAGCAGCAGAAGTTGCAGGCACACTAGAGCCAATAAGCAGCGAGGAATCCTCTCTTGCTCCCAGCAATGGGGTTGTCGATTCTGCAGCTGAAACGGCACCAGGCACCTTCATTGCTGCCCCCCCTCCCCCTCCTCCCGCTGCTCCTGCTCCTACCCCTGCCCCTGCTGCCCCTGCTGCTGCTGCTGCTGCTGCTGCTGCTGCTACTACTTTTCCATCTCTTCCTTTCTCCCCATTCCCATCAATAACTACCTGCACCAGACCCACCTGATCATGCCCCAATAAAGCCTCCCCTTGCTTGTTACCATCATACCCCCCTCCTACCCCCCCTCCTCCTTTCCCTTCCTCATCCCACCCTCCAGGCCCTCCCTTCTCTCCACTCCCCCCCTTCCCTCCCTTCTCGTCCCCATCCAGTGCCAAACCCCCAGAATATGCCTCAGCCGCCCGCCTAGCCCTCTGCATTTTCTGCCATCGCCACAGGACAAACGTCGCCGCCGCTACTATACAGATGCCCAGGATTATGCCTAAAACGAGGAAAACCAGCGCCACAGTACTCATGGCAGGGTCGGAGGAGGAGGAGTCCGAGGGAGGGGAGGAGGAGGAGGAGGAGGAGGTGGAGGAGGAGGGAGTGGGGGAGGTGATTGGAAGGCCATTGCCCGAGCAGGCAGGAAGGTTGAAGGCTCTGTCTGGGTGGCAGAGGTAGTTGTTGCCCTCTATGCTGTAGGAAAGAAGAGCACAGAGGGAAGAGGGCGCAGAGGGAAAGAGCAGAGAGGGAGGCGGGAGTGGGTGGAAGGTTGAAGGAACTTGCCAGTCCAGGCAGGAAGGTTGAAGGCCCTATCTGGGTGGCAGAGGTAGTTGTTGCCCTCAATGCTGTAGGGGATAGCACAGAGGGAAGGGGAACAGAGGGAGGAGGCACAGAGGGCGGGAGCACAGTGGGAGGAAAGGGGGGGAGTGCAAAGTTGAAGGCACTATCTGGGTGGCAGAGGTAGTTGCGGCTCTTGATGCTGCAAGAAAGGTTGCAGGGGGGAGGGGATCACAGAGGGAAAGGGGAGTGAGTGGGAGGTTGATTGAAGGCACTATCTGGGTGGTAAAGGTAGTTGTTGCCCTCGATGCTGCAAGAACGGGAACGGGGGAGGGGAGGGGGGAGAAGAAAGGTTGGAGGTTGGAGAAGGGAGAAGTGACAGAGGAGAAGGGGGAGCAAGTAGAATTGAGGCTTTTGAGGTGATTCATTGGTCGATTAAAAACTTGTCATAAATGATAAGAAAAAGGCATAAAGAACAGTGGGAAGCGAATCAGTGAACACGATTTTTGGACGGCATAAAAGGGAGAGAGGAGATCGAAGGGAGGAAGGAAAGAAGAGGGGAGGAGCGAGGAGTGGGGAGGAGAGAAGGGGGAGAAGATAGGGGAACGAGAGATACAGGAGGGAGAGATAGGGAGAGATAAGGGAGAAAGAGTAGAGCACAAACTGCTTACTTGATATCGATGCTGACTGTGGGAGGGAGATGGAAGAAGAGAGCGCAGGGAAGGAGGGAGAAGGGAAGGAGAGTTAAGGGAGGAAGGTTAGAGGAAGAATCACTCACTTGATATCGATGCTGACAGTAGCGTTGAAAGGAAACGGCCCTGTGAGGTTGTTGTTGCTGAGATCGCTGCAGAGGGGGAAAGAGGGGGAGAGATAATGGGAGGGGAAAGAGAGTGATAAAAAGAGGGGGAGAAGGGATTACAAAAGCAGGAAATCGGGAAGCTGTGGCAGCTCTTTTTAGTCGACTTATCATTCAAAACTTGGTACACGGAGGGCTGGTGGTGGATGGGAGGGACTAACAGGTGCAGGAATTCGGGCAGCTGTAAGAGCGACATCGGCACACTGCCAACCAGCTGGTTGTCGCCCAGCTTGCTGCAGGCACAAGAGAGGTAATGAGGGGTTGGAGGGATTTGGGAGGAGTTGGAGGGAGTTGAGTAGGAGAAGTCAGTACAAGAGGAGAGGCTGACAGGGAGAACTCACTGGCACAGGGAGATTTTTGCAGCTGCAAGAGAGGTAATGAGGGGTTGAGAAGAGTTGAGCGGGGTTGAGTGGAGAGAGTTTGAGGGGCTGATATGGAGGTTCATTGGGAAATGGCACCCAGGTGGTTGACTTGTAAGTGAAGCGTTTATATGTGTTGTCTTTAGCCTAGCCTTTAGGTTGGCAAGGAGGGATCAGAGGATAAGGAGGGGGTGTGGGGAGGGGACGAGGGGAGGAGAGGAGGGGAGGAGGGGATTAGGGGAGGGGAGGAAGGCCATACAGGGAGTGCAGGTTCGAGAGGGAACCAAGCCACGAGGGGATGTCGCCTGTGAGGCTGTTGTCGTTGAGCACGCTGTATGTGGGGGGTTGGGCACGTGGGGGGCACGTGTGGGATGGGCAGGTGGGGGGAGGGCAGGTGGGGGGAGGGCAGGTGGGGAGTGGGCAGGTGGGGGGAGGGCAGGTGGGGAGTGGGCAGGTGGGGGGAGGGCAGGTGGGGAGTGGGCAGGTGGGGGGAGGGCAGGTGGGGAGTGGGCAGGTGGGGGGAGGGCAGTTGGGAGTGGGCAGGTGGGGGGTGGGCAGATGGGGGGTGGAGGAGATAATAGGTCCTGCATGGGTGCATTGCAATTTACAACGACGGATGACTCGAATCAGAAAACGGAACAGGTCAGGATAGATAGGTTAGCAATGCATCTTAGAATCTCTCAAGAGTTCAACATCGAACAGGAGAAGGTGCTTATAGTGAGGAGAGGGAGGAGAGGAGAAGGTGCTTACAGTGAGGAGAGGGAGGAGAGGAGAAGGTGCTTATAGTGAGGAGAGGGAGGAGAGGAGAAGGTGCTTACAGTGAGGAGAGGGAGGAGAGGAGAAGGTGCTTACAGTGAGGAGAGGGAGGAGAGGAGAAGGTGCTTATAGTGAGGAGAGGGAGGAGAGGAGAAGGTACTTATAGTGAGGAGAGGGAGGAGAGGAGAAGGTGCTTATAGTGAGGAGAGGGAGGAGAGGAGAAGGTGCTTATAGTGAGGAGAGGGAGGAGAAGAGAAGGTGCTTATAGTGAGGAGAGGGAGGAGAGGAGAAGGTGCTTACAGTGAGGAGAGGGAGGAGAGGTTGGCAATGCAGGCAGGTATGGAGCCGGAGAGACCAGAGTGACTCAGGTCCCTGTGAGAACAACAGGCAGGCAGGAGAGAGTGAGAGAGGGGGAGGATGGAAGGGGTGAGAGGCAGCAGTGCCACATGGTTGGCAATGCAGGCAGGTATGGAGCCAGAGAGACCAGAGTGACTCAAGTCCCTGTGGAGGGGAACAGGCAGGCAGGAGAGAGTGAGAGAGGGGGAGGATGGAAGGGGTGAGAGGCAGCAGTGCCACATGGTTGGCAATGCAGGCAGGTATGGAGCCGGAGAGACCAGAGTGACTCAAGTCCCTGTGGAGGGGAACAGGCAGGCATGAGAGGGGTGTAGGAGGACATGGGATGAGGGCATCTTTGAGTCACCTCAAGAAGCAACGCACACAGGGTGGCATGGGTGGGTGGGCCCCAACCCACTCCTCCAGAGTAAGTCAGCAACATTCATACACTTGAATAATACACCAGAATTCAAACAACCACCACTCTCTCCAGCAGCACAACGACACTCAGACTCAGAGCAACACAGCAGCACAACGACACTCAGACTCAGAGCAACACAGCAGCACAACGACACTCAGAGTCAGAGCAACACAGCAGCACAACGACACTCAGACTCAGAGCAACACAGCAGCACAACGACACTCAGACTCAGAGCAACACAGCAGCACAACGACACTCAGACTCAGAGCAACACAGCAGCACAACGACACTCAGACTCAGAGCAACACAGCAGCACAACGACACTCATACTCAGAGCAACACAGCAGCACAACGACACTCAGACTCAGAGCAACACAGCAGCACATCGACACTCAGACTCAGAGCAACACAGCAGCACAACGACACTCAGACTCAGAGCAACACAGCAGCACAACGACACTCAGACTCAGAGCAACACAGCAGCACAACGACACTCAGACTCAGAGCAACACAGCAGCACAACGACACTCAGACTCAGAGCAACACAGCAGCACAACGACACTCAGACTCAGAGCAACACAGCAGCACAACGACACTCAGACTCAGAGCAACACAGCAGCACCCAAACAGCAGCACCCACAGCAGCATCAACACCAGCGCTCACACGCTCAAATCGTGCACCAGTACAAACATTTAAAGAGATACTCACAGGCCGATGACAGCAGTGTCGTTGGCACTGAAGCTGCACTGCACACCAGGCCACGTCACAGGGTAGCACGGGTCCCCCACCCACTCCTCCATAGCAGCAGGCTCCCCAAACTGAGTCTTCACACACGCCAGCGCTGCCACATCTCCTCCCCCCACCGCCGGCGCCTCCTCAAACAACTGGACAATTTCCAACCCGCTAAGTGTCACAGGGCGAATCCGGCTCTTGGCGGTCGTTTTTACCCTAAGTCTGATGTTTAGCCGGTTTTCGGGTGTGACTGTGAAGGGGATGGCGGCCTGGCCTGCTCTGGGGCCTCCCCATTGGGTGGGGGGGGAGAGGGGGATGACTATGAGCTGGCGTTCCACAACCACGTCGTTTAGTAACACGGTTACCACTAAATCGCCTAGGAATTCGTCGATGCTGGTGGTGCTGGTGCTGCTGTTACCGCCACTGTCGCTGCTGCTGCCACTGCCACTGCCACTGCCACTGCCACTGCCACTGTCAGTGCTATTTCCACCTCCGGTACTATTACCGCCGCCACCAGTGCCACTACTACCGCCATTGCCACTACCACCACCACCGTTGCTACCGCCTCTGTTGCTACCGCCAGGGCCGTTACCACTACTACCGCCACTGCCACCGCCGCCGGCACCGCCACTGCTGCCAGCACTGCCACTGCCGCCGCCGTTGCCGCTCCCTACGGAAGCTACAGTGGCAGCAGCAGGTGGGGGAAGAAGGCTAGAGAAATACAGAAACGTTTGGTATTGGCCCAAATCAAGGTTATCAAATGAGTACTCTAACCCGCGATTCGCCAGCGCTGCTGGTGCTAGCACCGTGCGAGCAGACTGCAGCACCCGCTGCGGCACAGCGTTGGGAAAGGAGGTGGTGATGGTGGTGGTGGTGTTGCTGCGGATGGGGAGAGGGATGGTTACGGTGGCGTTGGTGGTAACCAGCTGTGTACGGGTGGCTGGTTGCAGGTCCCAGTGGTCTGTGAGCGTGCTGCCGTCAATCTGCCATATGCGGTCAGCAGGGTCAGAGGGGTACCTGGCAGGCAGGGGGAGAAAAGGGGGGAAGGGGAGGGTTGGGGCTACCAGCAGCTGGTTGCTTGCAGGTCCCACCCACCCACGGTCCCAGTGGTCTGTGAGCGTGCTGCCGTCAATCTGCCATATGCGATCGAGAGGGTCCGAGGGGTACCTGAAAATGGGAGGAGAGAGAGGGGAGATGCGAATGGGGATAGGAGGGGAGGTTGGGGGTTCCACTGGTTACAACAGTGGTGGTTACAACCAGCAGCACGTCGGCTTTCAGCTGCTGGTAGCTGTAGGACAGATGCACACACATGCATGCACACATACACCTGAAGGTCTGGTCCCTGGCAGGGCTGTGCGCACAAGCAAAGCGCCACCAGACCAGTAGGAGAGCGGCGGCAGCGGGCGGATCTCGATGGCGTTGATGATGGGAGGGGCGTCCCCCACTCGCTGCAGGCAGATAAGCACACGTGCTCCCACCTGTACCGACATATACCCACCTGAAAGTCTGGTCTCTGACAGGGCTGTCCCCACAAGCAAAGCGCCACCAGACCACGAGCACATCAGCTTTCAGCTGCTGGTAGCTGTAGGAGAGCGACGGCAGCAGGCGGATTTCTATAGCGTTGATGATGGGCGGGGCGTCCCCTACTCGCTGCAGGCAGATGGGCATGGTGGCGTCCCTCACTGTGGCTATGGCTTCAAGTGTGTAGAGGGCATCACCTAAAGAACGGAGGTCCACCTGACCCCTGCAGTCAAGAAATGCGGGTGGGGGAGGGGAGGGGAGAGAGGCAGGTAGGCAGTGTTTGAATGGACTCAAACTGATACCCCCACTCGCTGCAGGCAGATGGGAATGGTGGCGTCCCTGACTGTGGCTATGGCTTCAAGCGTGTACAGGGTATCGCCTATCGAACGAAGGTCCACCTGACCCCTGGAGGAGAGGAGGGGAGGAGAGGAGGGGAGGAGGGGAGGAGAGGAGGAGAGAGGCGCAGGTAGGCAGTGTTTGAATGGGCTCAAACGGACGCCCCACTCGCTGCAGGCAGATGGGCATGGCCGCGTCCCTGACTGTGGCTATGGCCTCAAGCGTGAACAGGGTATCGCCTATCGAACGAAGGTCCACCTGACACCTGGAGTGACACAATGCGGGTGGAGGAGAGGGAGGAGGAAGCGATAAAGGAACCGGGTGTTTTTGAGCCTCTGACTGTTGCTATGGCTCAGGGGAGAGAGGCAAGTGGGTCCATCCCATCCCATCCCATCCCATCCCATCCCATCCCATCCCATCCCATCCCATCCCATCCCATCCCATCCCATCCCATCCCATCCCATCCCATCCCATCCCATCCCATTCCATCCCATCCCATCCCATCCCATCCCATCCCACCCCTCTCATCCGCCACTCACGCTGATCCGGGCCCTATGGTGACGTTGAACACAGGCGGGGAGTTCTTGCCATCGTAGTTCTTGTACCAGAAGGTCAGACGCACCAGGTAGCGGCCTGAGAGGGAGGGGGATGGGAAACAGGGAAGAAAGGGTGTGAGTGGGTGGGGGGGATTCTCGCCATCGTAGTTCTTGTACCAGAAGGTCAGACGCACCAGGTAATGAGCTGCAGAGGGAGGAAAAGGGGGAGGGAGGGAAGACGGACGACAGGAGGAACAAGAAAGCGGGAAAGGATGTGTGGTACGAATGGGAACAACTCCGGGACGACTCAGAGACAACTCCGGGACAACTTCTTTGTCAACCTTACGTCTCCCCCTTCCTGTACCCCATGCGTACATGCATATATGTAACCTATCCCCGCATACACCTCCTCACCAGCTGCACTGAGCGGCACGTGGTAGCAGCAGTTGAGACCCTGTCACTATTGAACACCGTCAGGGACAACTCCGTTGTCAGCCTCACAACCTCCCCCCTCGACTGCCCCCCTGTGTACATTACATTACACTGCACATCTATCCACAGATACACCTCCCCAGCAGCAGTGAGCAGCACTCACCAGCAGCAGTGAGCGGCACGTGGTAGCAGTTGACGTCCCTGTCGTTATTGAACGCCCTCAGAGACAGCTCCGTGGTCAGCCTCACGTTTCCCACGTTTGGCGAGATGCCGGTGATGACAGCAGGCGTCCCGGGGACAGTAGCAGAAGCACTCGCAACTCACCAGCAGCAGTGAGCGGCACGTGGTAGCAGTTGACGTCCCTGTCGTTATTGAACGCCCTCAGAGACAGCTCCGTGGTCAGCCTCACAGCTCCTGCTTCTGGTGAGATGCCCGTGATGACAGCAGGCGTGCCGGAGACGGTGGGGGGATCGGGTTGCCAGGTGAAGTTGAGGGGAGAGGGGTACGGCCGCCCCTGGTACCCGCAGTCGATGCTGATGAAGCCTGGGGGGTGGGGAGCGTGTGGAGGAGGGTGGGGGAAGGGTGGGGGGAGGGGGAAAAGGAGGAGGAAACGGATGGAGAAAGGGAGGGGGAACGGGGTGAGGGGGGTGTGCGGCGGATGGAAGTGAGCCTCACGTTTCCCGCGTCTGGAGAGATGCCCGTGATGACAGCGGGCGTGCCCGGGACGGTGGGGGGGTCGGGCTGCCAGGTGAAGCCGAGAGGAGAGGGGTATGGCCGCCCCTGGTACCCGCAGTCGATGCTGATGAAGCCTGGGGGGTGGGGAGCGTGTGGAGGAGGGTGGGGGAAGGGTGGGGGGAGGGGGAAAGGGAGGGGGAAACGGATGGAGAAAGGGAGGGGGAACGGGGTGAGGGGGTTGTGCGGCGGATGGAAGTGAGCCTCACGTTTCCCGCGTCTGGAGAGATGCCCGTGATGACAGCAGGCGTGCCGGAGACGATGGGCGGATCGGGCTGCCAGGTGAAGCCGAGAGGAGAGGGGTACGGCCGCCCCTGGTACCCGCAGTCGATGCTTATGAAGCCTGGGCGGGGGGAAGGGCGCGGGAAGGGCAGGCGCGAAGGCGGGGGAGGGGGGGGGGAGGAGGGGGGGAGCGGGGAAGGGAGAGGGAGGAGGAAAGGGAGGGGGAAAGGGGGGTTGGGAGTGTGGGGCAGAGGGGAGTGAGCCTCACATCTCCCCCTTGGGGAGAGATTCCGGTGATGACAGCGGGCGTGCCCGGGACGGTGGGGGGGTCGGGCTGCCAGCCAGGTGAAGCCGAGAGGAGAGGGGTACGGCTGCCCCTGGTACCCGCAGTCGATGCTTATGAAGCCTGGGAGGCACAAGTGGGGGGTGAGGAGGGAAGGGCGCAAGGGATGGGGGGAGGCCACCAGGAGAAAACGAGAGGGGAGGGGTATGGCCGCCCCTGGTACCCGCAGTCGATGCTTATGAAACCTGGGGTGTGGGGAGGGCGGGGAAAAGGCAGGGGGAAGGGCAGGGGGAAGAGCAGGGGGAAGGGCAGGGGGAAGAGCAGGGGGAAGGGCAGGGGGAAGGACGGGGGAGGGCGGAAGGGTGGGGGCATCGGGTTGCCAGGTGAAGCCGAGAGGGGAGGGGTACGGCCGCCCCTGGTACCCGCAGTCAATGCTTAAGAAGCCTGGGAGGGGCGCGGGTGGCGGGAGGGAGTGTGGGGCAGATGGGAGTGAGCCTGACAGCTCCCCCTTGGCGTTCCTGTGCACTCAAGTGGGCATTCTCAACCGTCACAAGTCACCTAATTCGCTTGCACCCACCTAATTCGCTTGCACCCACCTGCTTTAGAGACGTCTAAAAATCGTCCCCTTGGCGTTTCTGTGCACTCAAGTGGGCATTCTCAACCGTCACAAGTCACCCCTTGATTTGCTACATGCAATGATCATAAATTGCTTGCACCCACCTGCTGCAGAGGAGATATTTGACGCAGCGTTGACCTGCAGCCGGGAACTCGAACGGTCAGTCCATCTGAGGCTCAGATACCACCTAATCTGCACTGCACCCACCTGCTGTGGAAGAGATATTTGACGGAGCGTTGACGTTCTGATCCGACCCTGACCCTGACCCTGACCCTGAGCTCGGACGGACGCTTTCAGTCAACTCACAAGTCATTTAGTTTGCACCCACCTGCTGTGGAGGAGACATTTGATGGAGGGTTGTAGTTCTGACCCTGAGCTCGGATGGGCCCGAAGGAAGGTAGGGGTATTAGTAGAAGCAGCAGTAGCAACATGCTGATGTGTAACGCGGACGGAACTAGGTCGCGCAGCTGTTTCCGTCTCCCTCCCCAACTTCCGCTACTCCTTACGGTAGCGTGACCTGTAACGAGATTTGTAACGCGAGATGTAACGCGTTCGCGTTCTGACGCTAATCGACATGTCTTGCGGAACTCATACGCTCTTGAAACGATGAAATGGGAGACTGCAGCGTCAGGCTGCCTTGATTCCATCCGCTCAAGTCGGCAAGCTCTACTGTAGACTTATAATCAGCCTTATTTACTTAACTAATCTTCACAGGAGTGCGACGATTTTCTGGAGACAGCTAGTTAATCGCATAGGTAAGTATGGTAGTGAGTCATCTACCAAGAAAAGATCGCAACGACGCCATGGCGACCACACGAGGGCTTAAAGCAGTAACTGAATGCCGTTTGATGAACGCTACAGAGCCAGCTGTTAGCGCCTGCTGCTACAGCCGGCTGCTATGGAGCTCAGCTGCTATAGCCTGCTCACTTGGTGAACCGCCTCAGGAGGAGCCGTCAAAACCAGGAATCTATATTCGTCCGTCAGGAGAAACAGAGCGGTATTGTGACACCTATATTCCGACTTCAAGAAAACCTAAATTTGAAGTCATCTAGAGCACCCTAAGATATGCACGTGTAGGGACGTAGTAGGGACGGAGGACGCGTAAGTGAGGACTGTATCGACCAATGAGGAGCGTCCCGCAATAAGTTACAAACTATGATGCTGGGGTCAAGAAGAGGTCGTCTTGTTTTCCGTTCCAAGCGTGGTGCTGCAATTCATAGGGTATGATCACCGGAGATCTCGCTGCCATGTGCTTTCACCGTGCTTCTAGTGTTGGATGAGTCAACTATCAAGAGAAGGAATGCTCAGACTGGAATGTAAAGAAACAGACAGCACACTCTGGCGCAGTCAGAACCGAGGTATATGTTTCTGTAAGCACGAGAAGCCGTTCTGTAGCCCTACTATACCGCACTGTTTGTCCAGAAAAAATGTCCGCATCTGCGCTTGTTTTCCTGTCAGCAGAGTTTGGCCGTCTCTGCGTAGACTACTTGATGGTGCGCGCAATGATGGGCGGGATGGATCATGGAAGTCCCAAGCGAACGGCGTCAAAACAGTTGCACCACCATCGCTTGAGAGGGGAAAAGTTTTGCGAATTGTGGGAGGACGGCGAGTAAAGCGGTAACTTAACCCTAGTCAGTCGTGAGCGTAGCTGTCCAATGAGAGCATCCAACAAGACACTGAATTGTGTGTCGGTTGAGGTTTGGCGAAATGGCCGGCGGTTGCGACCGTGCTAGTGAAATCCAGAAATCTGCTTGGTCAACCCCACTGCCTCTTTGGCGGGATGTGTTGGCAGTTTCCGCCATGCGACTCGTCAACACCGCATTTTCGGTGCTACTTTCCTAGCTGCTCTCGCCGACTGTGTGACGTCAACTCAGCCAGGAAGACATCTTTCATGAAAGGAAGTTACTGTTTTGGACATGCATTTTAATATAGTTCCTAAGTTCGGCAAAAGGATTGATTTTGAATTCACATTGCTCAAAGCTGTGAGACTATCACAATATATTATTATATATTATATATACATGCATTCAGTGAGACTGTTTATCACAATATATATCCACACTACCATAATCCAATAGAAGACAAACTTGGGCATGCCTTTCAAGCACGCCCTAGCAAAAAAACAGAACTAAGGAGGGGGTAAACGCATGATGACACACAAGTGGTTAACAAGTCATTACTGTTGTGTTTGCCTCTCAGCTGAACCAAGAAGATCCGCTGTAACAAGCCTGGAGCCAGACATGCCAAACAGGATCGTCTGACCACCACCACCATCCACCCTTGGACCAGGAACAGCAGCACCAGTAGGTGCAGTGCCTTGAACCGACGCAGCAGTAGGTGGAGCAGCAGTGTGGCCAAGAGTAAGCTGAGCCGGAGTTCCTTGCTGATACACCATCACTTCCCTCTCCCTTTCCATCACCTGGCACAAACATACACATTGCGGATTACATGAGACCACAGTGCAACTAAAGAGGGACATAAACCACAGATCGATCAAACGACTCAGAAAGCTACTAATACGAGGAAAGAGGGAACACGTGGGTACCTGAGGAGGAGCAGGCACTGAAGACCCAGCGATCGCAGGAGCTTCAACTCCTGTACCATCATTGATAGCGCCTGCAGGGCCGTCGTCGGCAGCGGTGAGGGAGGGGTTGGCGGGGCGGTGGCCCTTGAAGAGGGCGAGGTGGCCGAGCAGCTTGTCCTTGCGGCTGAAGGACGTGCCGCAGGAGCACAGCCAGCGGTCGCGCCCGCAGTGCTTCTCGTGGGTCTTGAGGTCCGCCACCACCGAGAACCGCTTTGCACCGCACTTGGAGCAGGAGAGCATCTTGGGGCAGTGGGTGCGGCGGTAGTGGTTCTTCACACACAGCATCGTCTTCAGCGGGAGGAAGCGCTGATGCTGGCTGTTGCGCTTGCAGCCAACAAACGGGCAGCTGAAACGTTTCGGGCGCAGGGCAACGTTTGCGAGGTGCTTGTCCGGGCGGGCGAGGGCTTCTGGCGTCTTGTACTCGTCACCGTGGCCTCTCATGTGCATGCGGAGGTTGGCATCGCGCTTGAATCCTGCAAAAGGTAACAAACGCGAAGTCAGAAGGCCTGAAAAGAGAATGCCTGAACAGAGAACCAGGATAACTAAGCATAGGAAGAGGCATAGACCAACCAGAGTCCTCAAGACAATGACCGATGCATACCCTTGCCACAGATTTCGCAGAAGTGGGTGTGCTCCGCCAGCAATTCCACAGGGTCCATCTCGATAACGTCGTAAGAACCGTCTGAAAAGAACGAATAACATTTAACAAGACATAAGTTAGAAACGTATGCACAAAAGTCAACTGCATACAAAGCGGCCAGAGACGAAGATGCAAACGCAGGCAATTCCTTCAACAAAGACAAAGACACAAACGCACGGAGATCCCTTCTTTACCTGGTAGAGCGTCGTCGTCGTCGCCATCGGGTGAGCCTCGCTGCTTGCCTCCACTGTCCTCCCTCACGTTCTCCTTGCTGCGCTTGCGCGCCAGATCCGAACCAGAAACACCACCAATGCCGGGGATACCAGTGGCAGCAGAAGCAACGATTGCCGATCCGCCATCGGAACCGAGCTTGCGCTTCTGCGTGAGAAGGATCGCCCCGCCGAGAAGCCTGTCCACCGCGCCTTGCTTCGGGAATTGTCGCGCCAACGCCGGCGCCTGCGCCTGCGACTGCGATGTCTGCGCATGAGGCGGCGGGAGACGCGCGACTGACCTTGGTGGAACCGCTGCCTTCGCCTGCACCGGAGCCGCCATGGTCGGCGCAAAGCCCGGCTGGCTCAGCTGAAGCTTTGCTGCCAGGTCATCTGTCTCGTCAGGCGCAGGCGGGACGAGCTTCATCATAGATTGTTGACGTGGCGATTGCTGCTGCTGCTGACGTGGATCGTACGGCGGTGATTGCGTCGCGAGCGTCAGCTGCGCCGCTTGCTGCTGAAGCAGCGAGCCGGAGGCTCCAAGAGACGAGATTAACTGCTGCTGACGATTAACGGGAGCCGACGACGCAAGCTCCTGTTGCTGCTGCTGCGGCTGGTGTTGCTGCTGCTGCTGCTGCTGCTGCTGCTGCTGTTGCTGCTGCTGCTGCTGCTGCTGTTGCTGCTGCTGCGGAACGGCGTTCTGAGGTAAAACCAGGAGCTGTGAAGCGGGATTAGCGGCGGAGTTCACGGGGGTGGTGAAACCCATTTGCTGGACCGCCATGGGAGGAGCCATTCCAATTTGCGGCGGAAGAACCGGGGGAGCCATTCCCATCTGCGGGAGAATGTTGGATGCGGCGAGCGCGAGCTGAGAGATGACAGACGCGACACTGGCGGAGGCCGCGGCTTGCTGCTGCTGGAGCTGCTGGGCTTGCGCCGTGTCCGACGGCTGCTGCTGCTGCTGCTGTGCCATCAGCGGGATGAGCGCTTGTAAGGCGCCAATGTTCTGCAAAAAAACAGAACATTGATCCAAGATAGCTCGTTAGTAAAAAAAACAGGTGGTAACAGTAGTAATTCCACAAAAATGGAAAGAATATATCATCCTCGACTTACTTGCTGCAAGAGACTCAAAGCATTCATCAGTGCTTGTGGAGAATTCGGAATTCCGCCGGTCGGTCCTGCGGTGTAGCCATTCTGTGAAGCAGAGGCTTGAGGCACAGGAGCATGTTGCTGCTGGTGCTGCATCTGTTGATGTTGCTGCTGGTGTTGCATCTGTTGGTGTTGCTGATGTTGCTGATGTTGGTGTTGGTGTTGTTGCTGCTGCTGCTGCTGCTGATACTGATGCTGATCCTGATGCGGATGCTGTTGCTGATGCTGCAGGTGATGCTGTTGCTGGTGCTGCTGCTGATACTGATGCTGGTCCTGATGCGGATGCTGTTGCTGATGCTGATGCTGATGTTGATGCTGCTCTTGGTGTTGCTGGTGTGGTTGCATTTTCCATCCGCCGGATGTCCCGCTGGTAGGCTGGGATTGGCCTGGAGACGGATTGTACGCAGCAGCAGGAGCCATAGGTTGCTGATACGTGCCTAGAGTTAACTGCGAAGCTCCGTGGTCCATGTTACTTAATCTTGGAAACAGAAAGCCTGATTGTGAAAGGTTCTTTCCAAACGCAAGTGAGGCTTCTAACAATCAGGCAACACCAGATAAGAGAAGTTCCGCAAGTGAGCAACCACTTCTGATCTGAGGCCTGATAATGGGTGTGAGTGAGGAGTGAGAAGAGAGAGCCTCGATATTGGGTGGGTGCCACTCGGGGAAGCAAGGCTCTGCCTGAAGAGCCAAGCACTGCCTGGAAAAACCACCACGACCTGAACGTTTCCGCCTAGGGTTTGCTGGCTTCCGCTGATGGACTCCGCTGATGTGCTCCGCTGATGGAGTCTGCTCCGCTCTTGGGTCCCGCAGCTGGGCTCCGCTACTCGCCCCGCTCCTGTTTCCGTTGCTGGGCTCCGCGCGTGGGCTCCCCTGCCGGGGGCAGGAGAGTGGGGGGGGAGAAGGGGGTGTGGTTGGTTGGCCGGTATGAAGAAAGGCTGGTGGTGGGGGGGGGGGGGAAAGGGCTGGAGGTGGGGAGCTCGTTTCTGGGCTGGGGTTTCCTGCCGTGCGCTTATCACCGAGTGCGCACGCGCTCCTTGAATGGACACTGCCCTGCCTCCGCCACAGGTAGACTCGAGGCTCCTGATTTTTGAAGTCTCGGCGGCTAGCCTAGCCACACCTGCTGCGCCCGACGGGACAGAGAAGGGCGGACCGGAGCTGCGGAAGGAAGTGATGAGCTTTTCCCCCATCAGGGCTACATGCATTATCGCGAAAACAAAGCTTGGTTCGGGGGAAATCTAAGGGACACGCTGAGAAAACATCCTCTGATTGGGTGTGTTAGAGGTTCGGGCTTGGTTGTCCCGAACCTCTAAGAAGATTTGGTTGTGACAGAATCGATGTTTTGGTTCGGGGCACGAGGTTTGGTAGGATTCTCAAGAAAAGGACGAACTTTGGCCTCAAAATCTTCAGGTACATGTCAAGTTTGACATTCTTCAGCTCATTCAGCAGCTCCCATTATTTTCTGGGCAGATAAGCTGTATTCATTTCCCGCACCAAAACTTTGTCCGCCAGTTACTTCAACGCATCGCGGCCCATGACTTCAACGCATCGCGGTCGATTGGTGGGAAAAAATGTATTTTCCCCTTGTTGCTTTGTAGCCATGCACTTTTCCTGGCCCCTTATCACCTCGTGGTTCACACGTAAAGCCATCGGGGGCAGCATTTCTCTCTCTCACCTGGCGAAAGTTGCTACTGTACAGAACTGTTCCCTGCCGAACCCACCAGGTGGATTCCCCCAGAAACAACCCAGTCACCGGCGTTCCCCCACACCCAGACAGCTAAAACCTCACAAGAGGCCAGAACCATCCACTTTCAGTCGGTAAAGACTGTACCAACCGAGCCAGCTTATCCGTGACCCAGCAGCCAGCCAAGAGGTGACGTATCGGCTCGGATAGACACGCCACACCTGAACAGCCGACTCGATATTGGCATGTGGTAGTTGCTTGCTCGCAAAGCCACGTGTGAGCTGTGAAGGCTGCGATTCGCCAAAACCCAAGACTCCCTACAGATTTTTTAGGCTCTACATACATTCTGGATGACATCTAGTGTTATGAGTTGTTAAAGAGAGTGCGAATAACAAATAACGAGGGCGTGACTTAATGAACTGTCAATACAATGAAGGCACGCGACTATATAGTGACTACCCTAGCTAGGAGGGAACCTCGGAAAACAAGTTCGGATGCAGGTTTGGCAACGGAAAGCCGAAGGCGACGCGGAGGAGCCTTGGCATCTCGGATGTCGGCCGAACGAGCGAAGTCCGAAATGTCGGGGTTGTACGCGTAGCAGTCAACCACGGTAAGGAAAAGGAAAAATCCTAAAATCTTCGAAGGGTCGGTGGTCGGTTCCGGGACAGGTCGAGTTGTCGGGGCGGCGTTCTGGCGCGCTATGTCTGTCGTGCCAGGCACGAACTTGCGAAGGAGGCTAACATGGAAGGCGTCATATATACGCCAATCGTCGGGTAGCAGCAGCTTCGCGGTGACAGGTGTCACCATCTGGATGATGCGGAAAGGCCCACAAAATCGTAGCCGTAGCTCGTTCGAGCCGGGCAAGCGTAGATTTTTTGTGTCAAGTAGTACTAGTTGCCCAGGAGTCATGATGATTTCCCGTCTAGAAGATCCAAGTATTTCTGACCAGTAATATTCGCCTTGCAAATTGCGTCGGCTGCTTTCCTGCGGTTGGTACCACCGGGTCCATCCCGTAATTCAGGAAGAACGGGGAGTGATTAGGCGTGCTAGACGGTGCATTGTTGAACGCGAACTCCAGCATGGCGAGTGAAGATTCCCAACGAGCTGGGTTGGGGAAGTTTGTCCTAATCAGCTGCTCCATCGTCTGATTGGTCCGCTCAGTCTGTCCGTCGGTTTGTGGATGGTATGCTGACAAAAACCGTAGCTTCGTGCCGTACTGCGCCCATGTTTCCTTCTAAAACCTTGAAGTGAACTTCGGGTCCCTGTCGCTAACGATCGCCGAAGGGATTCCGTGCAGTCTCTTAACGGTTGATATGAAGATGCGCGCAGTTTCTTCGGTTGTGATTCTTGTACGACATGGTGCGAAGTACGCCATTTTCGTGAGGCGATCGACGACGACGACGAGTACATCGTCGTTGCCGGACGTCTCAGCTGGCAGCCCCATGACAAAATCCATCGTCACCTGTTGCCACGGTCGCCTGGGTGGCTCCAGGGGTTGCAGCAATCCAGCTGGCCGCTGACGCGTCGATTTCATGGCTTGGCACACCCTGCACGAGGACACTTATCTCTGCACGTCATTAGAAGAGTCAGGCCAGTAATACTGACGGTGCAACAGCTTCTGGGTTTTATCAACCCCGAAATGTCCGAGGAGATGGTCATCGTGGACCTCTTGGATAAGGAGTTTACGAAGCAGTCGGTAAGTGGGAACCCAAATCCGATTTGTTCTGACTTTTACGTAATAATTCCCTTTGTGCGTCGTCGCCTGCTGGTGATTTCCATTCGTGAAGAATGGGTCCGTAGTGTAGCCATGGGTGAATAGTCCCGTAAGTAGCAGGTTCGAATGGGTAATTAGTACTGCAACGGATTGAACAGTCGGGCGGGTAAGGGAACCGCTGATGTTATTCGCCCCTTTCTTGTATGTGATGCGGTAGGTGAAGTGGCTCTCCATGCAAATTAAGATTCGGCTGAGCTATCAAGTACAGTAGGAACTTGTGGTCCGTGCGAACAGTAATGTCGGCGCCCACCAAGTAGCAGCGCCACAGTTTGAACGCTTGTATAATAGCAAGCATCTCCTTGTCGTGTATTAGGTAGTTGCGCTCGGCTGATTGCAGCTTGCGTGACTCGTAGGCAATCGGCTGCAGCCTGTCTCCGAAATCTCGGAGAAGTATAGCTCCGATGGCGAAATATGTGTCAGAATATATTTTGTATATATTTCTGTATAACTGCATATAGTTATAGCTGTAGTGTAGTTATTGTTAAAGTCCTTGTAGGTGGTGCACCCTTTGCCATCTCTCACTCCTATAGATTGTACTTTCTTCTCTTAGTGAAACCATCATTTTCCTTCTCAACTTTTCTCTCGACACTTGCCTAGCTTTCACCCTAGCTATGGCTACTATGATTCTAACATGGTATTAGAGTAGTTTCGACCCTTGGGCCCACCACCTACTGCCCTGCGCGCCGCCCTCGTGCGGCCCTACTCTCGACGTTTGGCACGGCCCGTCGCCCGTCGCCCCTAGGCCTGTCGCCCCTCGGCCCGTCGCCCCTAGGCCCCGGCCCCGTGGCCCGTCGCTCGCGCTCGACACCCCTAGGCCCGGCGCCCCTTGGCGTCGCCCCTAGCCCGTCGCCCGTAGCGACCCCTGTTGCCCGTCGCCCCTAGGCCCCGGCCCCGTGGCCCGTCGCTCGCGCTCGACACCCCTAGGCCCGTCGCCCCTTAGCGTCACCCCTAGCCCGTCGCCCGTAGCGACCCCTGTCGCCTGTCGCCCCTAGCCTCGGCCCCATGGCCTCTAGCGACCCGTCGCCCCTTGGCGTCGCCCGTCGCCTCTAGCCTAGGCCCCGCGGCCCGACTCGCCCTCAGCCCCTCGGCCCCTTCAACCTCGGCCCCTTGGCCTTTGGCCCCTCGGCCCCTTGGCCCCTCGGCCCCTCAGCCCCTCGGCCCCTAGGCCTCAGGCCTCTCGGCCCCTTGGCCCTTAGGCCTCAGGCCCCTCAGCCCCTCAGGCCCCTCAGGCCCCTCGGCCCCTTGGCCCCTCGGCCCCACAGCCTTAGGCCTCTAGGCCCCTTCGCCCTCGGCCCCACAGCCCTGTCGCCCTAGGCCCCTCGGCCCCCTTAACCCTCGGCCCCACGGCCCTGTCGCCCTAGGCCCCTCGGCCCTGAGGCCCTCGGCCCCTCGGCCCCATGCCCCCCCGTCGCCCCTAGGCCCGGCCCCATCAACTTTCTGCCCGATGCGCGCCCTGGCTGCGCGTCGGTTTCTGCCCGTCGCGAACCCCGGGTGCGCGGCGGTTTCTGCCCGATGCGCGCCCCGGCTGCACGTCGGTTCCTGCCCGTCGCACGCCTCGGGAGCGCGTCGGTTTCTCCACACGCCTCAGCAGTGGGGGGGAGGGGATCTGCAGCACCAGCCCCCCCCCACCCCCCCCCCCCCCCCCCCCCCCCCCGCCCCCCGCTGCGACGGTTTCTTCCTGCCCGCGCGCCCTGCAGTCACACGCGCAGCTCCGCCCCCGCCCCCCTCCCCCCCCTCCCCCCCCTCCATGGGGACGGGGGGGAGAGGGTGTGAGGGGGTGGCGAATGTTCCTCAGCAGCAGCAGCTGCCGCCAAGCCTCCTCCTCTCTCTCTCCCTGCTGCACCTTGTGTTGGGAGGGGGGGGGGAGCTTGGAGGTTCAGGGGGTGGCAGGAGGGGATCTGCAGCACCAGCCCCCCCCGCCCCCCCCTTCTCCTCCGTCCCCCTGCTGCGGGTGCAGCAGTGGTGGGGAAGGGAATCTGCAGCACCAGCCCCCCCACCCCCCCCCCCCCTTCTCCTCCATCCCTGGGGGGTGACGGATTGTGGAGCAGCAGTGGGAGGGAGGGGATCTGCAGCACCAGCCGCCCCCTTCTCCTCCATCCCCCTGCTGCGGTTGCAGCAGTGGGGGGGAGGGGATCTGCAGTACCAGCCCCCCCCCCGCCGCCCCCCCCCCCCCCCCCCCTTCTCCTCCATCCCCCTACTGCGGGTGCAGCAGTGGGGGGGAGGGGATCTGCAGCACCAGCCCCCCCCGTTCCCCCCCTTCTCCTCCATCCCTCTGCTGCGGGTGCAGCAGTGGGGGGGGGAGGGGATCTGCAGCACCAGCCCCCCCTGCCCCCTCCACCTTTTCTCCTCCATCCCCCTGCTGCGGGTGCAGCAGTGGGGGGGAGGGTATGGGGGTGGCGGGTGTGAGTGAACGGCTGCCGCTTCTCCTCCATCCCCCTGCTGCGGGTGCAGCAGTTTGGGGGAGGGGATCTGCAGCACCAGCCCCCCCCCCCCCCTCCTTCTCCTCCATCCCTGCTGCCCTGTGCGCCCCGCGCGCCCTGCAGCCCTGCGCGCCCCGCGCGCCCTACTGCCCTACTGCCCTGTGCGCCCCGCGCGCCCTACTGCCCTGCTGCCCTGTGCGCCCCGCGCGCCCTGCAGCCCTGCGCGCCCCGCGCGCCCTACTATCCTGCAGCCCTGCGCGCCATGTGCGCCCTGCTGTCCTGCGCGCCCTCGCGCGCCCTGCAGCCCTGTGCGCCCCGCGTGCCGTGCTGCCCTGCTGCCATGTGCGCTCCGCGTGCCCTGCTGTCCTGCGCGCCCTCGTGCGCCCTGCAGCCCTGTGCGCCCCGCGCGCCCTGCTGCCCTGCTGCCCTGTGCGCCCCGCGCGCCCTGCTGTCCTGCGTGCCCCGCGTGCCCTGCTGTCCTGCTGCCCTGCGCGCCCCGCGCGCCCTGCTGTCCTGCGCGCCCTCGCGCACCCTGCAGCCCTGTGCGCCCCGCGCGCCCTGCTGCCCTGCTGCCCTGTGCGCCCCGCGCGCCCTACTGTCCTGCGCGCCCCGCGCGCCCTGCTGTCCTGCTGCCCTGTGCGCCCCGCGCGCCCTGCTGTCCTGCGCGCCCTCGCGCGCCCTGCAGCCCTGTGCGCCCCGCGTGCCCTGCTGCCCTGCTGCCCTGTGCGCCCTGCTGCCCTCTGCATGCGCATCTGCAGCCCCATGCACAGCCCCTACCCCCCCCCCCCCCCCCCCTTCTCCTCCCTCTCCCTGCTGCACGTGCAACAGTTTGGGTGGGTGGGGAGGGGAGGGGACGGTGTGAGGGGGAGGTTGCACCTACAGCGCCAGCCTGCCTCCTCTCTCTCACAGCCGCACCTGCTGCTATGGGGGGGAGTGTGAAGCGGTGGGGAGGCTCAGGGGATGTGGGTGGTGGGTGACACAACTGCAGCAAATGTCGCCACGCCTCCTCCTCTCTCTCCTCACTGCCGCTGCTGCTGCTGTGGGGGGGAAGGTTGAGGGGGTGGTGTGAGTCCAGCTGCAGCATCAGCCACCTCCCCCCACCTCCTCTCCTCTCATGGTCCCTCCTCCTCCTCACTTGCTCTCTCCTTCCGCTGCACAGGGTGTACCCCTTCAGGGGGTGTTCTGCATATGGCTATTACTGCATGCAGTAAGGGGGTGTGTCAGAATATATTTTATATATATTTCTATATAACTGCATATAGTTATAGCTGTAGTGTAGTTACTGTTTTAGTCCCTGTAGGTGGTGCACCCTTTGCCATCTCTCACTCCTATATCTTGTACTTTCTTCTCTTAGTGAAACCATCATTTTCCTTCTCAACTTTTCTCTCGACACTTGCCTAGCTTTCACCCTAGCTATGGCTACTATGATTCTAGCAATATGAGGCGTCGGTGATGACTGCGAACGACTTTGATGGATAGTACCGGAGGGGAAACCAGAAAATTCTTCAGTTCCTGAAAATCCGCCTCAGCTCCCCCCCCCCCCCCACACAAAATTGATGTCCTTGTGCAGCAGATCGGTTAGCAGGCCGGTTATCCTTGCCATATTCGGGATAAACCTCCTGACGTAATTCACGAACCCCATAAAACTCTGTATTTCCGTGATGTTAGTCGAGGACTTCCACTCCGAGTCAAATTTAATGCCGTCGAGGGAGATGCCTCTCAGATTTATATGACATAGCTACTGTAGGCTATAGTGGGGTAGCACATATAGGGTACAGTTTTCTAGGGTTTGCATTTGTACCCAACTTTCCCTTAGTCAATTCATTCTCGTTCAGTTTCTCATGGTATCGAGCAGGTTCCCCTGTGGGAACTGTTCCTAGGGCCCACCACCTTTTTTTTCCTGCCCGGAGCGCGCTCTACACTGCCCGAGTCGCGCTCCCCTCTCTCGACCCTGTCGCGCCGCCTTAGCGGCCCCGTTGCGTCGCGCTTGCGGCCCCGTCGCGTCGCCCTTGCGGCCCCTTCACGTCGCGCCGCCCTAGCGGCCGCGTCGCGCCGCCCTCGCGGCCCCGATCCGCCGCCCTCGCGGCTCCGTCGCGTCGCGCCGCCCTCGCGGCCCTTTCACGCCGCCCTCGCGGCCCTTTCTAGCCGCCCTCGCGGCCTCTTCAAGCCGCCCTTGCGACCCCCCCCCCTCCTAGCCGCCCTAGCGGCCCCGTCGCCTACCCCTGCGGCCCCGGCGCCGCCCTTCCCTGCCTCGGCGCCGCCTCTGCTGGCCCCGTCGCCTACCCCTGCGGCCCCGGAGCTGCCCTTCCCGGCCCCGGCGCCGCCTCTACTGGCCCCGACGCCGCTCCACCCGGCCCCGACGCCGCTCCACCCGGCCCCGCCGCCGCTCCACCCGGCCCAGCCGCCGTCCCCACGCGGCCCCGCCGTCACCACCGAGCCGCCGGCGCCGCCGAGCTGCTGCCGAGCAGCCCGATCCACCTGAGCCGCCCGAGCCGCCGCGCCACCTGAGCCGCCCGAGCCGCCGGGTCGCCGAGCCGCCGAGCTGCAGTTGCTGCCGAGCCGCCGTACCGCCGAGCCGCCCGAGCCGCCCGAGCCGCCGAGTAGCCGAGCCGCAGTTGCTGCCGAGCCGCCGTACCGCCGAGCCGCCCGAGCCGCCCGAGCCGCCGAGTTGCCGAGCCGCCGAGCCGCCCGAGCCGCCCTGTCCGGTAAGAGCAGCGCCTCTGTCACTGCACTGCCCTTACCCTACTGTTCGCGCTGCTAGTCTACTGCTGTCATGGCTACCCCTAGTGTCCTCGCTTTTGACGCTGAGGGTCGGGCCATTGACTTTGACGTCTGGGTAGATGACCTGCAGCTTTTCCTACAGTGCGATAGGGCAGACGGTCTCTCCCTCTTTGACCTCACCTCTGGTGCCTCTCCTGCCCCTGCTGCTGATGCCGACGCCACTGTTCGCTCACAGTGGGCCACACGCGATGCTGCTGCACGTCTTGCTGTGCGTCGCCACCTGCCTACCTCTGAGCGTGCGCACTTTAGCCAGTACAAGAGTGCTCAGACCTTGTACGACGCTGTAGTTGCGCGCTACTCCTCCCCTGCCACTGCTGCACTGAGCCGCCTCATGCTACCGTACCTCTTCCCTGACCTTGCTGCCTTTCCCACAGTCGCTGACCTCATTACGCACCTCCGCACTAGTGACACTCGCTACCGCGCTGCGCTTCCTGCTGAGTTCTGCGCCAAGAACCCCCCCCCCCCCATGTACATCACCCTCTACTACATAGTCACCCGGCTCCCTGACTCCCTTCGCGTAGTCAGGGACCACTTCCTCTCAGTTTGCCCCACCACTCTCACCGTTGACCTCCTCGAGAAGGCCCTCCTAGCAGCAGAGAAGAGCATAGTCGCTGTAGGAGCCTCTCGTGGTGACCCTCGCTACCGCGTCTTTGAGGGGTGTTCCCCCTCCCCCCTTTTGCCCTCTGTTGCCTCTGCTGCTGCGGCCGACCTCGTTGGTTTCGAGTCGGTCGGCGCTGCGTCTGCCCCGAGCGGGAGACGCCGCACCGGCAAGGGCAAGGGGGGCAAGGGTGCTGGAGGGGCTGGCTGGGGTGGCGGAGGTGGCGGTGGAGGCAGTGGAGGGGGTGGGGGTGGTGGTGGGAGTGGTGGCGGGGGTGGAGGTGTCGGTGGCGGCAGTGGAGGCGGAGGCGGCGGCGGCGGTGGCGGTGGGAGCGGAGGTGGCGGAGGTGGCGGCGGTGGAGGAGGCGGCGGCGGAGGAGGTGGAGCTGGTCGGGGTGGCACTGCGCAGAGGGTCGGCTCCGGTGGTGGTCAGCGCCAGCAGCAGCAGCGCACTCGTGACATCCCCCTCCCTCAGCAGCTCCGTGAGTGGTACGCTGCACGCCAGCGGGGTGGGGGTACTGGTCCGTGCACCTACGTCCTACGCACCGGCGACCGCGCGGGTGAGCAGTGCGGGGGTGCGCACTCCACCCAGCGCTGCTTTGGCCGCCTGACGGACGCTTGGCGTCACCAGTTCCCTGAGGCCACTGAGATCCCCCACTGGGGCGAGCTGTCTAGGGTGGGTGTAGCTGTCTTTGAACTTGACTTTGATGCTATTCTTGCTGCCATGTATGCTGTGACTATTAGTGATGAGGGTGACTGTTACCGGTGTTTTCCGCCCGACCCGGGCATTGAGACTGCTACTCTAGGTACTGGTGAGGCTGCTGCGCTAGCGAGGCTGCTGCTCTAGGTGCTCGTGCGTCTGCTCCCTCAGGTGCTGGTGAGTCTGCTCTCTCAGGTACTGCGTCGGCTTCGGCCTCCCACACCTTCACCCTTGACTCGGGGGCTTCTCGCTCCTTCTTTCGAGACCGCACCACACTCACGCCGCTTGGCCGGCCAGTTGCAGTCTCTCTGGCAGACCCCTCTGGGGGTCCTGTCCTTGCTCACTTCTCCACTGTCCTCCCGTGTCCGGCGGCCCCCTCTGGCACCCTGTCTGGTCTTTACCTCCCCTCGTTCTCTACGAACTTGGTGAGTGGTGCTGACCTACAGGATGCGGGGGTTCACCAGTTCACTCCTGCGAGTCAGCGGGTGACCCACTGCACGGACGCTCGGACAGGCCGACACCTGGCCACGTTTACACGTCGGCCGGGGTCGAGCCTGTACACCCTGACCACTGCGTCTCCTCCAGTCACTGCGTCTGGTCAGGTAGCTGCGTCGGGTCAGGTGTTTGCTGCAGCGTCCAGGTCTGGTCCTGAGTCTGCCCCCTGTTCGTGTCGCCTCCTGTCTCACGAGACTCTCCTCTGGCACCACCGCCTGGTCACCCCTCCCTGCTTCATCTCCGAGGCATGGCCTCCCGTGTCCTTGTCTCTGGTCTTCCCCGGTCCCTCCCTCCCCTTCCTCCGGGGCCTGGCCCTACCTGCGTCCCCTGTGTCGAGGGGCGGCAGCGGGCTGCCCCTCACTCCTCCCAGTTTCCTCCGACAGAGGCCCCGCTGCAGACGCTTCACATGGACGTGTGGGGCCCGGCCCGCGTCCGTGGACAGGGTCACGAGCGCTACTTCCTGCTGGTGGTTGACGACTACTCGCGTTACACCACAGTCTTCCCCTTGCGCAGCAAGGGTGATGTCACTGAGGTGTTGATCGACTGGATCCGCGCAGCTCGTCTCCAGCTCAGGCAGAGCTTCGGCTCGGACTTTCCTGTTCTGCGTCTGCACTCTGACAGAGGTGGAGAGTTCTCCTCTGGCCTTCTGCGAGCCTACTGTCGTGCACGAGGCATCCGCCAGACCTTCACGCTTCCGGACTCTCCACAGCAAAATGGGATTGCTGAGCGCCGCATTGGCATGGTCATGGACGTCGCCCGTACGTCCATGATGCATGCGGCTGCCCCCCATTTTCTGTGGCCGTTTGCGGTTCGGTACGCGGCGCATCAGATCAACCTTCACCCCAGGGTCTCCATGCCGGAGACCTCCCCAGCTTTGCTGTGGACGGGGAAGGTTGGCGATGCGTCTGCGTTCCGTGTCTGGGGATCTCGGGCGTTTGTCCGCGACTTGTCTGCGGACAAGCTGTCCCCTCGTGCTGCTCCTTGCGTCTTCCTTGGCTTCCCCCCTGACGCGCCAGGGTGGCAGTTCTACCACCCCACCTCTCGCCGTGCTCTGTCCTCCCAGGACGTCACATTTGACGAGTCGGTCCCCTACTACCGCCTCTTCCCCTACCGCACTCCGTCCCTCCCCCCGCCACCGCTCTTCCTTGTGCCAGGTCCCCCCCCGGTAGACCCCCTCCCCCCTCAGGGTCC